GTTTGCTATGGATTCAATGTGACCAAAGAAATGACAGTAAAACATTCTCCAGGTGAAAGGGTTATAGCCAACTTTATTTCCATGGTGGCAGTTCAATCACTAAAATCCCATCCACTCAGAGCGAGTCTGCATGCAGGAAGCCAGTCTCTGCTTCTGGGCCTCTGGGCCTGCACAGCCTTCCTCTGGGCCTCTCTGGCTCTGTCCTTGGCACTGCCACCATTCCAGCCTCTCTTCTGCTCTTCTGCAGCCTTGCAGCCATGCCACCATGTCGCCCAGAGCACTGGGCAGAGCTCTTTATATAGAGTCAATAACAATGTATTGCCCACACGTGTGTAGTGATCTAGACAACCAGGGCCAGGTGAGTATCTTGACCACACAAACCTTCATTTTATCCAAAGTAGAGTAGAGGGGTAAATAAAAGTGACACACACCTTTCCCTTGGGGAAGTAGGATACAAGGGTAAATAAGTGACATAAACACTTCCTTTGCAGAGTCTGTAGTTTAATGGGTGAGACAGCCATTAACCAAATTATTGTGAGAGAAACTCTTGAAAATTCTCTGAAAGAAGATTACGTGAAGGGATAGATTTTTGAGTAACATGACTTAACTAGTGTTGGAAAGGAAGGTGAAATCAGAAGCAGCTTGGCTGAAGGCGTGATCTTAGGCTTGCAATGCAAAGATCTAATAAAAGTTCTTTTGGGGGAGGAGACTCTCCCAGGGTCCACTATGGTTTTATAAAAAAACAAGAGTTGATGGGGCTTGGAGTTTTAAAAATCTTGAATCAAGAGAATATAAAGAAAATCAGGTATTTTTCACATTAGTTCCCCTTCCTGAGGTCTGAATACTAGAGAGTGCTCCTTTATTGAGTGCAGTGCATAAGGAGGCACAAAGAGCGTCACCTGCAACCATGTTCCTTGGGTATGACCCGATCACACTTCATAGGAGAGATATGACTGCCTTTCTCTTTTATAGCTGAGATTCTTGACAGTGATGCCTTTCAACTACAAGTTTTCTTTTCTCACTTCTACATGAAAAAAGGAGCTTTTTCTATTACATAATAGTATTATTACAAAGGAACACACATGCAAGATATACTTCTATTATTTTTTTTAAATACTCATGTTTTTTATCTTTACCCCTTTGTAGCTGATAGAAATTGCCTTTTTGAATGGAATCACCCAGGCCTGTGGGTTCCTGCTCCAGGATAACTATTAGACATTCCCAAGCCATAATATCATAATTTTTCCATAATGTCACTTGGCCATGATCTGACAAATAACCAAGAGTCTTGGTATGTGAGGTAGATTTTTCAAGTTTTCTCACACTGTCATCTATTCTCTCATGTGATTAGGTTCTGAAACACCTAGAGTTACTAGAAACTTACAAAGACAATTTTTTAAATTGGAGAAAAAGGAATTATGAGAGTATTTGAAAATCACACTTTCAGTCATTTTTTTTCCTGATGGAACCTCAATAAGAGATGGTTGCTTTTTAAAGCTATAAGTGCAATTTTTTTATTACAAGCTAAAGAGAATAAATCAGGTGACAGAAACCAATAGAAAGAAACTTGATTATCACTACATGAGTCCTGGGCAACATGAAGGAATTGACCACTATCAAAAAATTTCTCAGCCATCATTAAAATCTGTTATTTGAACAATTAAACACGAAATTGAAACAAGATCACAAAAGAAACACAACATCAAAACTGCAACTCCAAGGGTGAATTAAATACATGACCAAATAGTCAAGGAAGTAGCCTACCACACAAAGAAAACACCTTTGCATCAATGTTGCTTTTCTACACTGGTGTGTGGATCAGTGGGTTCTTGCAGTGCAAACTATGTTCTGCAATTATAAGTGTGTTTTATATTAATGAGTTGTAAAATATCACATGGGAAAGAAAATACTCCTTTCCTTTTAGAATAAGATGTCTAAGGTTTCTATTTTCCCTATGGATATGGCCTTGCCATCTGTGATGCCAGGGTTCTTGTTCATAGAGTTGAAGAATGAACTTCACAAACACTCAAGGTAGGAAAGCAAGGGAGAGGCTTTTATTTTTAGAGAAAAAGTGAGAGGACAGAGGTCCTGGCTCACACCAGGAGGGGACAAGAAAGCCCACAGTTGTGTGTTGTCCAGAGGATTTATAGGCCATTGAGGATTTTTAGGAATGTGATAAAGGGCTAGGGGTGTGGACTTATTTAATGGTCCTAGAATGTTCATCCTTGATGAGACATTAAGTCTGTTTTTCTTATCAGTCCTCCAGGTATTCTGCAAAATTAGCATAAGATATTTACTGCAGATTCTTTCCCAGAATAGCAGCTTCTTGGTCTGGGAGCATACCAATCAAGACTGCCTGTCCTGCCCTGTCTGTCTGCTAAAAGAGTATTTCAAGAACATACTTCTTAACTTCCTGGGTTTTAAAGGTAATCTAAGATGGAATGTTTCTTGCTTTTACTATGTTGTTTATGGCTGGGCTAGCTTGCCATTATTAATTGCCCAGGATGCAAATAACTTGATTAGGTTGGAAGGAGGAAAAACAGCATATAGGCCTGGGCCTTTTAGCATGCTAAAGTGAATCTTACCATGGCGTGATGATAACACAATAAAAACGTGGGCTATGCTGAGATACTTTTCTTTATCAGGGGAATATTCTAACATTCCAGGCTAAGTTACTCCTGGCTTTTTGAGCTTTAACTGATCTCACTGAAGAATGACTCTGGAGAATTCATGTGACTCTGACTTTTCTTAATGTTTATCATGGAGTTTTGGAAGGGGGTTTCTTTGCATATTATTACATGTCTCTGAGTCCAAATATCTTGCCTTGCTTTGTTCGGAGGCCCTCTCCCTACTCTGTCTAAGTCCACGGTCCCTGTCTTATCTGGACTGTGACACTTGGATTTACTAACCAACATCATCCTGACCCATGGTTGGTCCAGGAAAAGGTACAGCCACTTTTTGTTTCTATGACTTTCACTATGCTTTTATGACCTACAAAATTCCTTCTCCTTACAGGCACATTGGATTTTCTTGTTGCATTAATGTTTTTAACAATTACAGTCCAATCATCTAATATTCTCCCATAATAAATTTTTAATGTTTTTTACTTGATTATTATCTTTGAAAAGTTAATATAAGTGGATTCTATAAGTGAATTATCTTAGAACTAAGTACTGATTCTTCATTTTTATGCCTTTATCTGTGTTGTGTTTGTGACTGCCTTGGGGTCAATTAATATTCTTTTAAGTCTCGTGAGCTAATAAGAAAAGGAAAGAGGTAGACTTGAGATGAAATAAATGTTTTGGGTGACAAGTAAAGAACAAATGTTGTAATGATACTTATAATGAATATTTCATAGTAATTTAAAATAGAAAATAAGGCCAGAAAATTGAATTTTGCCATGTGGTATTCAGCAGTATAGACATGCTGAATTTCAAAGAGCCAGTCCTGTAAGAATAGCTGATATTGATGTTTTGGAGACCAGAGTTTCAGTAGAAGACTATATATTATATAAAAGTTATAATTTGAAATTTTTATATTTAATTTATGAGTTTAGTTTTTTAATAATTTACAAGAAATATATACATATGTATAAATGGAGTTTTATTTAGGTTTATACATTAAATAAAATTATATTAAAAGTAATTTAAGTCAGCACTGGGATCAGAGAATTTAGTCCTTTACAAGTTGTCAGTAACTTATTCAAGCTTGAGAAACTTGTTTCACATCAAATCTTACAACCATTGCTGGGATTATCTCACAGATGGGGCATTTGTAACTATTTGTTTTACTGTTGGAAGCTCTGATGATTGGAAAGTTCAGTTTTCATTTGCTGACATTAGATTTCCTGTAAGTTTCAGTCATTGGTGGTAGTTACACTTAGGAACAAATAAAGTCTGCTTTTTGTGTTGGTATGTTAAATTATAGAAGAGTAACTATCATGTTTTACTTAGTCTTGCTTCCACAAATATCTTTGAAAACTGACCGGAGAAAACACTGTTCAGTAGTCTTTTTTTGCCTTTTCAGTTTGAAAGGAGCAACACTCCTTTCAACCTTTCCTTAAAAGTTAATTTTTTCCTCTAATTACTGTAATTTACAAATAGTCTACTGATGTCCCTCTTAAAAGGTGGCACCAGAAAGACACTTAGAAAATAGAGACTTTTATTTAATATCACCAATAATAAAAAATAGGAATAACTAAACTCAGCAATGTATTAAGGCACTAACGGAGACAGATACAGAAGAATATGGCAAACCGTTCTTTGCCTTTAGAGAGTTTTGAATCTAGTTGGAAATGAAGATGACAATTTTAGGTACTACTATTAACTAATTTTTAGGTAATAAATAACAATTTTAGGTAATATTATAAAAATAAGCATGTTTGAATTCAGAGTTTCAGAAATCTGAGTCCTAGAACTGTTGCTGCTGTAAGATTCTAGGTTTTCATTAGAGCTAGGTCTTGAAAGCTACATTGGATTTAAATAAAGACAGTTTAAACAAGCACCCAAGAACGTTGTGCAAAGTAGCAAAAAATTGGACCCTAGATTTTTCTGCTCTTTGTCTAGTCCTTTCTCCACTCTTTAGAACAGAAAGAAGAAATCTTTGAGATAGCAAATTGGTGACTGTATCTACAGTTTTTGGAAAGGCCTGAAATTTAAACTTGGCAAAATTCTAATTCTTGTTATTGTTCCCTGTGTAGCTTGAAGCTAGTGAAAACCGTCACAATTCTTTTTGAATCGAATTTCCTTTTGGATAGATTTTAGGAACAGCTGAAGTTTAAATGACAGCTCCTTACGTTCTTTTTAAAAAGAAGTGTTAAGACAGGAAGAACACAGGAAGCCTGGAATGTAACCAAACAGGCCGTTTTTCCGGCATCCTACTTACCCTTAAGCAAGATGGTGGGCATCTTTGCACATGCGTACTAGGGAAGCTTGGGCGGGGAGTTCCGTCACTTCGGTCGTGCTCTGGGCAGGGATTGGAGGGACCAGAGCTGAGGGGAGGAGCCGGAAGTCCCCATGTTGTGGCGCTCAACCTGTTTAGTCCCTGAGTCGTTTCAGCGTCCTGCCTCCAGCTATAGATGCTGCCTTTGCTGGGAGGTACAATGGGGGAAGCGGAGAAGTTTCACTACATCTACAGCTGTGACCTGGACATTAACGTGCAGCTTAAGATGTGAGAGAATCTGGGAAGCGGGTCTGGGATTGCTGGGGTTCAGGGACGGGAAGGCAAGGCCTGTGAGTTGGGGAGGGAAGGTGGGTACTAGTCTGAAGGCCGGCCTGGGGGCGGCTGAGGAGGGCTGCGGTGAGGGCAGTGGAGGAGCTCAGGAGCGTGGAGAAGGTTCGTGTGCGGGAAGGGTTGAGGACGTGGTCTCTGAAGACTGCGGTAGGAAAAAGCCATCAAGTCCCAAGTTGTTTTACTTTCTTCAAAGCATTTTGCTTTTCAGAGCAATCTTTTGAGGGGCTATTAGTCTTATTATACAGATGCAGTAATCAAGTCAGTAAAGTCGTCGTCCTGTAGTTAATAATTGGGAGATTTTTTCTTTAGAACGGGTCTGGAAGGTAGAATGGAGACTGCAGAAATTATGGGGAGGTCAACACAGGCAGATGTAGTTGGTAATAAGATTGAGCGTGTGGATAGCACTGGTGTTAAAAGCACTGGAGTTGATAGAGGGTTGGGTTGAATCTTTGGACAGTCCTGCATTATTTAGCCAGGGAGGCTGGGAGTGAGTCCAGGAGGAGGGTGCCAGTTGCAAAGGGACCAGAAGATAGGAGAAAAGAGCCTTGCAGGAAGAACTTGCGGCATCACTGTTGAAGTAAAGGCCAGGGGCATGACATCTGGAGATGAGAAATAATGGAACTAAAATGGGGGACAGGTAGGACTGAATTGGAAATGATGTCCATTTTAAGATGGTCTTATAAAGTATGTTCATATATGAAAGCTATCACAAATTGTTAATCACGTTATTCATAATATGTTTAATCAATATTCAGTAAATGTGCTGCAGGCAGAGGGCTGCTTACCTGCAGTAAAGACATTTCTCAGTTGTCAGATGTGCCTTTGAATGATTGTTTCCTTTATTTTCAGAGGTTAATTCAGACTCTGAAAAATATTTTACTATTCTTTGTGTACTGGTGGTCAAAATAAGTAAACAGAGTACTCTTGTATAATACTGCACCCACCTATTTAAGGTACTTTCTACAGTGTACACCCTTAGGTGCTTTATGTATTGGGATCATCTGGTAAAGGGCCTTTCTTCAGTCACATTCCTCTCAGTATTTCTTGGACACATAAATGCATTTTTTGAAACTTTTGAACATTAAAAAGAAAGAAAAAGCATCCAGTCCATTATCAACAGGCACACACACTGAACATTTTGAGAGAAAGAGATAAAGCAGAAGTTCAAAATTTGGCAAAATTCAGTATTTAGCTTCTGAGACTGCCATTGTAGGTTTTTGGGGGATCAGTTTAAGATCATGTAATCAGAGAATAATACATTATTTAATTCTGTTTATTCTCCCTAGGCCTTTCATCTGTTTCTGTGGTTTTAATACAACTTGCACTTTGATGTCTCTTTTTTTAGTGCTGTAATTCGAATATCAAACTGCTCATTAGACATGGTCACTTTGGATGGCTGAAGCAGCTTAAAAACAACTTGTCCAAAATTGAGCACGTCATTAGCCTTCCCCTCTAACTGTCATCTTCCTTTGTTTTCTCACATTATTTTGGTGATCGTTGCCATCATTCTTCAAGTTGGTTAAGACAGAAAACTTCAAGTCATTCAGATTACCTGTCTTAACTTCTCTGCTTAGTCATTAACAATTTTCCTTGAATCTATCTGCTAAACTTTTTTGATCTGTCACCCCTGTTTGCCGCTGCCTGAGCCTTAGTCTACCTTTTTCCTTTCTAATTTTGACAGAAAGTCTTCTAACTGATCTTGCTTTGAGTCCCACCTCTCCATTATGTTCTTATACTCCTGCTGGAAGTATCATAAATACAAATCTGATTATATTACTTTCACTTCAGATAATTTGATTAAGAGTTGTGAATGTTCACTTTATGTCAGGCACTGTACTAAATTTGGTGGCTACTTAGCTTCATTGTCCCCTTACTTTTCATTCTCATTCTTAGCTTCTTTCCCACATGATTTTTACACTTTAGCTACACCAAATAACTCACAGTTCCCCAGACACCCCATCTTCTTTACATTTGTATGTGCTGTTCTTTTGGGGATGACTCTACCTCTTTGGCTCCCAACTCCCATATGTTGTTCAGGCATCTATCTGGGATACTAAGCTGCTAGCCCCAAGCCCAGTTAGGTGCTCCTGAGACCTTGAAACATCTTTCTATAATGGGAGGAAAACTGTTTTTGGCTTCCTCTGCTCTGGCTTTTATTCTCAGCTCTCTTACTTAACTTTGCTATACTAGATGATAAGCTTGATTTCTGAGTCTCTGCTTCATCATTTATAACATGGGAATATGGCAAAATATAAGTAAGAAAGAGTACAAAATAACTGACACAGTATCTAACATAACCTTGATGTCCAAGCAATGTACCTACCTCTTTTATATGTCTCCTGCATATCTTTTATGACTTACAACACTATGTTTTAATTTCAAGAAGTGATCATACAATACATAAAAAAAAGTTGAAAGAGTACAAAAAGAATGTGTAGTTAAAAGTAGGTTTTCTCCCCCGAAGCAAGGACTTAACATTTTCTTGTGACCTGGTATTTGTTTATCTTGTCTTTCATTCCTGGGCCTCTATGCCTAGTACAGTAAATGTTTGTTGAAAGAGTATGTGAATAGTTTCATTTTATAAGTTAATAAAATGAAACTAAAGCCTGGCAAGCCAGTGACATCTGGAAGACAGACCGAAAGTTGATTACAGGGTTTAAAATTTAGAAGCCTAAAATAGAGCAATATGTTGAAAGACAGTGATCTTAGGTGTGTTAGGATTTTTAAATACCTGTATTAGATGTAAAAGTGACTTTAATTGCATCTACAGGAAGGTGTTTTAAGTAGCAGGTTTCTGTGACACAATCATAAACTCTTAGTATTTATTGTGTATATGCTTAGAAAATGTATGTCTAAATGTTATTGTTCTTGTGCTTCCAGAGGAAGTTTGGAAGGGAAGAGAGAACAAAAGAGTTATAAAGCTGTTCTAGAAGACCCAATGTTGAAGTTTTCAGGACTGTACCAAGAGACGTGCTCTGACCTTTATGTTACTTGTCAAGTTTTTGCAGAAGGGAAGCCTCTGGCCTTGCCAGTGAGAACATCATACAAGGCATTTAGTACAAGATGGAAGTAAGTTGTTTTCTTGCATATGGTGGGTTCTAGACATTTCTAGCATTTCCTTACAGATGTTGCAAGTATGATTTGTTTGTAGGGATTAGAGGAATTTTAAAAAATTATTTAACACCTGTAATATGCATTGATTAAATAGTGTAAAGCTGTAACCTAGTCAGAATGAAGTATTATATTTTATTATCTTATTAAAGTATTATCTTATAAAATATATGAATTATTTTTAATACAAACTTGAATGATTCATAGAATGACCCAAACCAAAAACACATGTGTAGCATTTTATGCCCTTTTTCTACCATTCTGTGTCCTTGAACTTTAACACATAAATACTTGTGGATAGTCTGAAATGTTGTCCAATGTGATGTTTGGAGCTCAGCTCTTTAGAGAGCTCAGTTGTCATCTTTCAGGTCAGATTTTAATTATTATTTTAAATAAAAAAACTAGCTCTTTTTTTTTTTTAAGTTCATCGTTTACTGAGCATGGTATATTAGCAAATCATTGTTGGGATGCAAGGTAAATATAGTGAACATGAATTTCCTGTTTTTCCAGAATAGTACTGTGCGTCTTTAACCTCTTGACACTTAGTTGATACAGTATATTGTGCAGTTTTAATGCTTGATCCATGAGTTATTCAGCACCCTGGTAATTTGGTGCAGGATATATATGTTGCATGTTTCTCAAGGAAGGAGCTCATGTCTACAGTGATGATAAGAGGTGGCGATATAGGCTGCCAGGCTGTGCTGTTGAGGATGCAACTGTATGTTTACCAGGTGTGGCCCAGCAGGCTGGGAAGAGTTTTTTAGAGAAAGTAGAAGCCTGAGCTCTGGTCATATGGCTATGTCAAAACCAACTATTTTAATGGTGTAATTTGTCTAGTAGTTTTCTGTGGATAAACACAAACATACTTCTTAAATATATATACACACACATATATAGATAGATACACACACACACACACACACACACACACACACACACACACATATATACAGTTGTTATGGAAAATATCAAACCTGTAAAAATAGAACAAATAATATAATGAATTTTAAGGCCCCATTACCTAGCTTCAACTATTACTAAATCAAGGCCTATCCTGTTTTTTCTATACACACTGTTATTTTGAAGCAAACTTGAAATATTATCTTAACTGTAAGTATTTCTGTATATCTTTTTAAAATAACTGTAGTGCCATCATTATACCTAAAACAATGGACCAAAATTTTTTAATTGTATAAGAGGTTTTTTAAACTGGAATCAGGAAATCTACCAACCCATGAAAACATATGCAGAACTTTGTATGCCTTGGTACATTTTATAGGGACAGAGCTCAAAACTTTTGTTAGATATTTCAGAATGGCTAGTGACCCAAAAAAAGACATAGCGTCATAAATTTAGGTTTAGAAAGTTAACATTTATGGTGTATTCCACTTCTATCAGCAAGGAAAATTATATATTGGTTTTGTTCCATGTCTTGGCCATAAAGGAAACTAGAGCAAAAGCAGATTCCTAGTTATAGGGTTATTAGAGTCTTTATCCTCTTTTTCCCATTTAACAACTCCTCCCTGCATTATTTATATATTACATATTTTCAAGGACATAAAAAATTCCATATTTGCCCTCTAAAAGTTTGAATTTTTTAAATTTCAATTTTTTAAATTGTGCAACTGTTTAATAAAATAAATTCTCTGACATAAAGAATGGCACTTTTTTAACTTAAATGTTTAAAACAGCTATGTAGAAAATAGAGAAATACTTCATGTTGGATAAAGTAACTTGAGGATAGGCTTTTTTTTTTTTTAATATACTCTGCATTTAGGGGAAGATGTGCAGATTTTGTATATCCTCTTGAGTATTTAAGAGTGGAATTTTTTATCAGTTCATCAAAACGATAGTCACCCTCTTGAAAGGAATGAGGGCAAACTTTACACAGCCATCATTTTCTATAGCACTTGCTTAAAAGAAATACTCTTAACTGTGGGAAAAATAAATTATATCATAAAAGGGTCTCTTGTTCTCCAAATTTTTACATTTTCTTATTACAATAGGATTTTGGGGTAGTGCAAGATTCTGTATCATCTAACTCTGATTTCTGAGTTTGTGATAGTTGTAAGAGTTTGAATATTGAGAAATTGATCCAAAATTTATTGAGGTTTATTCTGTCAGATCCTATTCTATCCTGTCCTGTAATAAGAGAGCTCATCGTAAGGGGAACCTGTACTTGCTTTGATTATACTTTAGGTAAAATTTTATTTTTAGAAATTGATCCAAAATTTATTGAGGTTTATTCTGTCAGATCCTATTCTATCCTGTCCTGTAATAAGAGAGCTCATCGTAAGGGGAACCTGTACTTGCTTTGATTATACTTTAGGTAAAATTTTATTTTTATGTATGGAAAACTACAAATTTCCATATTTTATATATGAATATTATTCTGTAGGCATATTTACATTTTTTTTTTTAATTTGTATTCTCTCTTAGCCCTAAAGGGTTTGAAAGAGCTTTAGAGAGAGAGAGACTAACAACAATCTAGTATGATTTAAAAATGAGAAAAAATGAGAAAGTATAAGAATGAGAAGTTTAGAATTTAGTAGTACATTTATCAGACTGGAAGATAAGTACAGTGGTGTGTGTGGGTGGGGGTACCTGGTGGGGATCTTTCCATCCAGAGTCAAGCTTTAAGATCTTGCAGTGTTTTGAAAGTTGCCAGGTAAATTTAGTCTTAAGCTTTATGAGGGTTGGGACATGGGGGTTGATGCATGGGGAGGGAAAGAACAAAATGGAGTTCAAAACACACAGCTTTTTGATGTTTCACCAGATCTTTCCATATTTCTAGAATATCTTGAGCAGTTTTCAAACAATTTTTTAGCTGCAGATTAGTTTCTTCAAAAGAGCTCTTCTGCAGAAGCCCAGTGCATACAACAGGTTAAAGTGCATGCTTTGATTTGAAGAGGTGTGGTGTTCCGGTGTTGACCAGGGGTTTTGAGGCAAAGTATTGCTTGGTCTTACTATTGTCTCCTAGTCAAAGGACCAAATACAGAGTGAGGATTTTCACAGTTCATTTTGGGTATTGTCATTGACTTTTCTCTTTAACTTTAGCCTTTGTTAATTAGCCTCTGTGGTTTGTTCATTGGCACAAAATGTTACTGCTTAGTATTTACCTTCTCAGCCTGCCCTGCCATGTCAATAGTAATTAAATAAATTCATTTAGTTCCTCAAGCTAATCTGTAGTAGTGGAGAATGGCTTTTTTAAGCATGTGATTTATTTTTTAAAGAACTTCATAGAAAAAAAGGATTTAATGACCGTTTGATTCTCCTTTAAATTGATAGCCATCTCTAATTTTCCTCTAAGTCCTTGAATTTATATGGTGGATATAAATGATTCGTCCTTGAAGTTTTTGAAAATTCTGTTCAATTTCTTACCAAGGCAGATGTATTTGACCTAGACTGGGATATGCCCCATTGAGAATAATTTTTAGTAAACAGAATAATTTTGAGTAAACAGAGAGAAACAATTCTATGTGTCTGTTGGGTATTACTTTGTGTATTGCTTGCATAGGTTTCTTTTGGGATTTTAAAAGCCATCTGTTGTTTAAAAGAGTTGAAGTTACCAAATAAATTGAGTGTGGACTTTGAATGCAGAAGCAGATTTTCAGAGATAAATAGAGAGTAAAAAAAGCTGTGTTGTTATTACTATATTATGAAGAACAAGCATTCCTTAGTGAAATCACATATACAGACGTGCTTTGAAAGCATAAAAATCTAATAGCTAAGCATTAGCAGTATTAATGAATTAGCATGAGAAGCAGAAAAATCTCACAATGTAATAAACTGTCCAGAGCTGTCTGGTTCACATTAATGAAGGTAGTGGGTAGACTACTTCCACCTCTTTAAGTTATTAGTGGTTCTTTTCTGCTTTATTTATAAATCATAATCATAGCTTGGCTCAAAACAAGTTTGATTCTAACAAGTTAAAGGGTTTTCCAGATGTTTATTAGCCTTATTGTATTTTTTGTGTCTTAGTGATACTGTTGGAGTTTCTTGATTAAAGATTTACCAGTGTTCTTTTTCATGAGCTTTGTTTTTCAAAAAAATTTTCTCATGTGTTCTGTATTTAAAATTGAAGTTGGTTACAGCAAAAATGAGGTAACGGCTGCATTTTTTGTAGTACTAACTTAATCTTTTGGGATATTTTCTCTGGCCAAACCTCGTATGGTTTGTAAATTTACAGTAAAGTTATATATTTATATATTTATTTATCTTGGCTTTATTTCTGTAGCTTTTGCTTATATTGACTTTATTTCCATAGCTGGAATGAATGGCTAAAACTGCCTGTGAAATACCCTGATCTGCCCAGGAATGCCCAAGTGGCCTTGACAATATGGGATGTGTACGGACCAGGAAAGGCAGTGCCCGTGGGAGGTACAACGGTTTCACTCTTTGGAAAATATGGGTGAGCATTGTCTTTTCCTAATCTATTGGAGTGTTGTAGCTTTCTGTCCCTTTTCTTCTTGGGAGGGCTTTAATAGTTTATGCCTAGTGTGGTTTTGTGTGTGCTAAGAAGTGAAAACCTATTTGTTACATATGATTCCTTCACCTCTGAGACTGAATTTGACACATATATTTCCTATGGGATATGCACATTGATTAATTGAGAAGTTCAATTTATAGTACTCCACTGTTAGTGATCCATAATGTGATTTCTATTAGAAAATAGTGACTGGGGACTAGAATCTTGCTTTTTGGAGAAAAAAAGTGATTTGACATACACTTCTAACTGTTTTGTTACAGGGTTTTTCTACTTTGTCATAATAGTGACAAAGAATAAGCTGTATTAAAAAGCATAAATTTACCAATAATAGTTATGATTGTAATAGAAAACTTGCTAATTCAGTTCTTAAAAATTTACAGATAATATAAGTTTATTGTAAAAAAAAACAAAACCCATAGTCCTGAAAGGTATTTTTTCTCTATTCCTTTTCTTCTGGAACAGAGGGATTGCTCTTTATAAGAGATTTGGAGATACTATATTATTCTTTCTGTGTTTATTAGTTAGAATTTTTTTTCTAAAGAACTTCGTCTTTCATCAAGTATTGAGTCAGCCTTGGCATACAGTTCATATAGGGAAAGCTGATGAATGTTTAATTTTTTTCCCCTTATACCAATTTTCAGAAAGAGTTGGTGCCCCAGTAACTTGCAGAGCTGGTGAATGATGAATTTTTGTTTTTTTTTAAGTTTTGTCTAGAACTTTTAAACTTTTTTGAAATGTCTCAATCCATTGCTGCCTTTATTTTTTATAGTGTTCAAAAACTCCCTTTTTTGGTCAAGAGGAGCCCCTTCAAGCTGGTCCATGTCCTTTTGATAGTGCTGTACTAGTCACTGGTAGTTTCCTGGTTTCCTGGTAGATGAGCTAGGTAGACCAATTGGCAGTTTTCTGCTCTAGACCTGGAATTTCTGAAAGAAGTCCCAGTTCCATTCAGGGCAGAGTGGGAGTGATCTTAATGTAAGTGTTAGCCGATTCCTTAATATTTGCCCATTTGAAAGCTGAAAAATGTTACCTTCAGAGTTAATTTTCACATCATTAAATGTGAATGATGAATGAGGATGATCACGTTTTGATATGTTCATTTACTATTTGTGTTTTATGTTTCTATGAATTGCTTTTTAATGTCCTTTGCTCATTTTAAAAAATTGAAATAAAATACACATGCTGTAAAATTCTTTGCCTTTTTATGAGTTGTCATTTTTTTCTTATTAATGTGTAAGGGTTCTTTATACATAAGTGAAATTAGTCCTTTGTGTGTTTCATGTTCCAAATACTATTTTTCCTGTTTGACATTTTTCTTTTGAGTTAGTGTATTATTTACTTGTCTGATTGCTATTCATGGGTCTTAAATTATTATGTTGAATTTAACAGTTTTAATGTTTATAGCCTGTGAATTTAGAAAGTCCTTTCCCATTTTTAAAAAATACTTTCTTCTGTTAACTGTTTCAGTCCTTTACATTTAAATCTTACATTTATCTAAAATTACTTTGTGAAAGGAGTGATGTATTGGGAATTACCTTTTTAAAAAAAAAAGAAAACAACAAATGGCTAGTTTTTTATCTTAACATTGGTTATTAAATAAGTCATTGTTTCCAGGTATTATGAAATGGTATCCTTATATATTCAATTCATCATGTATTGAAGTTTAAAAGAAACAGTGTAGTATACTGTATGGTAGTGATGCCGGGGTTCTTGTTCACAAAGCTGAAGAATGAGCTTCGCAAACATTCAAAGTAGGAGAGCAAGGTGCAGGCTTTTATTTAGAGATAAAGTGAAAGAACAGTTCTGGATCACGCCAGGAGGGGACAAGAGAGTCCATAGTGGTGTGTTGTTTAGAGGTTTTATGGGCAGTTGAGGATTTTTGAGAACATGAATAAAAGCTTAGGGGTGTGGACTTATTAAGTGGTCCCAGAATATTTAGAATTAACTTAACACAAGCAACTCCCCACTCTGATAATTTCTCCCTGAGAAACCAGCATCTTGTTCTGGGGGCATATGAAACAAGGCCACCTGTTAAGCCCCCAAGGTGGGCTGAGGCATTACTTGCTAAAGAGTAAGTTAAGAATTTCTAATGTCTTAACTTCTTGGGTATTAAAATGCAATCTTATCTTAAAGGTGGAATCCTTCTTGCCTTTTACTGTGTTGTTTATGTCTGGGCCTGCATGCTAAATTAGTTGCCCAGTTTGCAAAATCACTTCATCAAATTTGAAGGAGGAAAGACAGCACATAGGCCTGGGCCTTTTCGTATGTTAAAGTGAATCCCACACATGATTATAAATGATTAGCATAATAAAAACATGTGCTACTGTTCTTTGGGGTGTATTAACTGATCTCACTGAAAAATTACTCTAGGGCTTAATGTTTAACACAGAGTTTTGGTAGTGGGTTTCCTTGTATGTAGTTACATTGCTCTGACCGCGAATATCCTGCCTTGCTTTTTCTGGAGCCCCTCACACTACTCTGACTACACCCGTAGTTCCTGTCTCAGTAGTTTGGGAGGTAGATTGTAGAAGCAGATTATGTAGTTTTAAATCCTGAATCCTTTGCTTAATATCTGTGTGCCCATGGGCAAGTTAAACTCCTTATGCCTTAGTTTCCTCATCTGTAAATGATTTAACGATGCATTTACCTCACAAAGTAGTTGATGTGATGATAAATTACTAAAGACATGTAATGAGCTTAATGAATGCTCAGTAAATATAAGCTATCTTTATTTCTGAACTATTCTATTAGCTTTGGATACTATTATATTGTAAAATATTTTAATATTAGATAACAGTAATCTTCATTAGTCTTGCATTTAAATTTCCCTGGATATTCTCTATGTTTCATCAGATAAAATTTTAATATTATTTTCTCAGTTATAAAAAACACTCATTGTTGGGAACTCTTAATGAATTATGTATGTTAACTAAGGAGATAACTGACACCTTTATAATACTGAATTTTTTTTTCCAAGAATAGGGTATTGCCAGAAAAACTTCAACTCATGAATAAAATCTAGGTGTAATCCATTTAGATAGCTTGATTGCTTAGTAATGTGTAGGTATTTTAGTTTAATGTAGCTAAATAAAAGATATTTATTATTGAAACCCAGGTAAGAACAATAATTTAGACATAGTCTGAGACATTGTGGCCTCCAGTTTTTAAATTCAATTTTTGACAAAAGAACATGTTGCAATGTAACAGATATATTACTAAATCAGTATCATTCCTTTTCTAGAGTATTACTTTTTACTTTTATCTACTACAGTGGGGTTTGCTTGACACAAAGAAAAAATATGCACAATAGCTTAATACTGTTACTATACAGTCTAAGCAGTTAAATTTAAGCAACAGCCAGATAGACCCCTTGGTTTTTCCTCCCAGCTTCTTAGTAAAATAGTTTACCTTGTGGAGTATCAGGTGGAGGTTCCCTTATAAAACACCTCTTTTAGCATTCATGTGCATTAGATGACTTTAGGATATAGTTTCAGGAGGCACTTTGAGTATAGGTGTGAGACAATTGAAATTTCCACACAAGTGCAGTAAAAAGACCTGCCTAAAGCCAAATCAACTCTCTCAGATTGACGTTTTTGACACTCTTTTAGTTAGCTTTTGGCATTTTTTAAAAAGTATGTGAAACCAGTAGTTATCAATACATGTATAATAATCAAGTGATAAGCTCAGTGGAAAAGCACCTTCCTGCCTTCTCACTAATTCAGTAAATCTGTAGTGGGGCCCAAGAATCAGAATTTTTAATATGCATCCTGAGTGATTCTGTGACAGGTGGCCTATGGACCGCATTTTGAGAACCCTGCATTAACCTTTCCATAGTAGTCTATTTATATGACGTATGCCTGCAGTTCTTCTCAGTTTCTTCCTTTACTTCATCCCTGGTGCTTGCTTTATTTGTATTTCTGTGTATATCCCAGGAAAAGGACAATTTCTTTACCTTCCATCCAAACCATGCTGGAAACATGCCTGAGAGATGAATCAGTAGTATTTATTCTGCTTTAAGAAGTAATTCAC